TTAACTAACAAGAATTTAAATAAAAATTTGAAATCCAAAAGAGAAATAGTAGATATCTGGTCCCGGAATCATCTTTTTAGCCTCCTAGAACATGGCTCATTTTGTCTTCTGTCCTCCTCCTTTATCCTCAGAGTGATAAGATCCAACCTGATGGTGGTAGTGGTGACTCTCTCTACAGTATATGCTGAGATACACTTAGCCATCCCTGCTTTAACCTGTGATGGCTGCTGTGGCTTTGAGTTAGTCTTTTACCTTCTCTGGGCCTTGCTTTCCTCATATATAAAGTAAGGATAAATACCATACCTCACTGGGTTGTCTCACTGAGGCGAAAGCCATCATGCAACGTGCAGTATCTAGCAGAGTACTTGGCACAGAATAGTTGACACTAGTCAACTCCTGTCGCTGTTATGAAATGAATACCTGCAAAACCCCCTGACCCCCTGCTAACAACAGAACTGCTGAGTGCCCCCACTCTGTGGGCACCGGCTGGTGAAGGATAGGAGGACACACAGGCCCTAGTTGCAGCCCTCCAGGAGACCACAGTCTAGTGTGGAGACCAGAGAGGCTCCCGTGAGAAGGGTTAGGGCAAGGACTGGAGAGCTTTTATTTATGCCCTGAAAAATAACAGCATGTTTTAGGCCCTACATAATCTTAGTTAGTCTTCACCCAAACCAGAAGAGGTAGTTGTTATTTTTACCCCTTTTCATAGATCAGGAGACATAGGGATTGCCCCCAATTGGTTAGTAGGTAAAAGAGCTGGGAATCAAACCCAGCTGGTCTCACTCCAGAGCCACTTACCTCTGCCTCTTTGTTAGAGGGTATTTATCAAAAGGTGTTTATCCCCCTTTGATAGAGAGGATATTCCCAGGGCTCATTGTGGTCAGGGCTGGGCGCTCTGCCCATTAACTGGTTGTGCCATAAAAGAGGGACCCAGATTTTAGCTCTTCACCTTCCTCTCTCTTTTGCAGAAGCTGCTGATGGGGGCTCCACCCTGGGAGGGGGCGCTGGCACCATGGGCCTGAGTGCCCGCTACGGGCCCCAGTTTACCCTGCAGCACGTGCCGGACTACCGCCAGAACGTCTACATCCCCGGCAGTAACGCCACACTGACCAACGCGGCTGGCAAGCGAGATGGCAAGGCCCCCACCGGTGGCAATGGCAACAAGAAGAAGTCAGGCAAAAAAGAGAAGAAGTAACGTGGAGGCCAGGCCAAGAGCCACGGGGCAACTTCCCTCCCCAACCAGCCCAGCCTCTCTCCGTATCTGTACCCAGGCCTCATATTTTCAGGGCTCACCCCCAGATACTGGTAGGGGTCCAGGCCATGCTCCCTTTGAGAAACAGAAACAAGTGCCCAGTCAACACCCCCCTCTCTGCCCCCAAGGGATTGAATATGCAAAAGGGAGTTCTGCTGGGAACCCCCATCCAGTCAATTGCTGTGCCCATGGGGGTAGTGGGGTTAGTGTAGACACCATTTATCACACCCCCTTTAGTTACAGCTGAACTTTGCCATCTTCCAAATTCAATCAGGCCCATCCACAATTCCCTGCCTCGCTCCTGTCACCCCACCCCCTCAGCAGCTCCTCTTTCTTGAATAAGGTGGTGGGGGTGTTGAGGTACCTGGTGACCTAAAAAGGCTCGTAGTTCTGAAGAGTTGGAAGGGCGTCATAACCTCTTGGCCTCTCCAGTTCTCAGACCGCCCCCAAAGCATGGTTTGGTGCCCGTCCCTTCATCTCCTTCCAGAGCCCAAGACCAAGCTCAAGTTTTGGCAGACATGGTCACCATTGCCATGGTACTGACGCTTGCTGGATTTAGGGAGGGCACTTTGCTACTGTGCCTCTTCCCAGCGCCCTTGGGACCAGTCTTTTGTTCTGTTTTTCATTGTTTGATGTTCCCGCTGCATGCCGTGACTTCCCCCTCTCCAAACAAGAGACTTCATTGCATGTTCCAAGACAGTATGGGGTGGTAAGATAGAGAAGGGAAGGGTGTGGATATAGGGGATGGACAAAGCTTGACTTGCCAGTTATCAGGATCTTGCAGAAGGCTCTGTTTCCCCAGGGTACTGGCCAGATCCCCAATTCCAGCCATAAACCAAGTACCAGGCTGGACTCTCGTTTTCCACATTCAAGGCTTGCTCGCTCACCTCAGGCAGTGAGCTTTGGGCTGAGCTGTTAGCACCAATGGATTTAAACTGGCATTATAGTCAAAGGAAGGTCTGAGGACGTTTGGGACCAGGTCCCCTGGAGAGGTCAGAGGGCCCTCTGTGGGTGCTGGGTACTCCAGAGGTGCCACAGGTAGAAGAATCAGTGTGGCCCTAACAGTGAGGCAGGGCCAGCTAGGCGGTTCTTGGTCCCTGGGTTGGGGAGGCATGGAGCTACAGCAGGGACCAGGTGGACAGAAAGTCTCAGCCTAGGATCCGGGCTTCTCCACAGGGCCCCTGCACTCCTCCAGCCTCTGTTCCTTCATCTTGCCAGGTGCCATTTCTTCTCCGTGAAGGCCAGTGCCCAGCCCCCCTCCCCCCAGTCTGCTCCCTAGTGGCCAGAGCCTGGTTAAAGTCCCCCAGTGCCTCCTTGTGCATAGACCTTTCTCTGCCCATCCCCTTCTGCCCACCCCCTCCCCCAGGCCCGTACCTCCAGTGGGGCTGCGCAAAAACCCCACCCCAACCCTTACAGTAGTGTAGAGCCCCCTCCCTCTTTCGGCTGGTGTAGAATAGCCAATAGTGTAGTGCGGTGTGCTTTTCCGTGATGGCGGGTGGGCGGAGGGCTCCGCGCAGCCATCTGTCGTTGAATCCGCCTGCGGCGGCCCGTGCTGTGTTTTGTGCTGTGTCCATGCGCTGCGGCGACCCCGTCCCCTGTACTGACTCCTATAAGTGCTTCTCTTCGCATAGTCATGTAGCTCCCCACCCACTCCCCTTCCTGTGTCTCACGCAAGTTTTATACTCTAATATTTATATGGCTTTTTTTCTTTGAAAAAAAAAAAATTAAAAGGTTTCTTCTGAAAGGTTGAACGGTTCTGTGTAAGAGATGGAGGCTCCTAGCATGTGTGGATGAAGTGCTAAGAGGTGTATGCCGGAAGAAGGGCGGGATCGCGAGGCTATTGTATTTGCGTCTTGGTTTTGTGTCGCTGCCCTTGAGTCTGTGTGTGACAGTCAAATGTGGCTGTGTGTTATTGCAATACTGTTGTGCATATTTAACAGTATACAATCGACTGTAATTGCGCTTGTGGATCGGTATACCGTTGTGTGTCATCGTTTTATGAGTCTGTTGAGGAGGGGGATCTCTGAGCGCTGCGTGGCGCTGTGCAGTTGAGCGTGCAATTGTATGCTTGTGGCTCTCTCTCCCTTAAGGTTCTAAGCGCCAGTCTCCCGGCAGAAGAGGAGACTCCAGAGCGGGGGAGGACTGTGTTGGCAATGGCTACAGAGCTGGAAATCGGGTGGTGGACATTTCCTTAGTTTGCCCCTCTTCCCTGCTAAAATTAACACCCCACAGTACCTTTGTGGGCTCCTTCCTAGGAGGGTGAATTCTCCTTTGACCACTCCTCTCCACCCTGGCTGCCTAGTGGCTTTGGGAACACCGCACAAGAGGGCATGCTACATATAGCCTGGGCCTCGGTTCACCCATCTGGAAGTCACCTTCCCACTCTCTGTGGCAAAGCCAAGGAAAAGTAGAAGGTTCATCACTTTGTTGCTGGGGATGGTGTGGGGTGCCCTGTGTCAAGGGGATTGAAGAGTGAGTATATAGGATAGATTGTCGGTAGACCCAGACTATCTTCCCTTGTTCCTCTTCTCCCTCTCTCCTTGTTTGTCCATTCACTTCTCAGCCCTCCTCCCCTCCCCTCTTCCTCAGTCTGCCTCCTTGGAACACAGTGGGAATTGGAGGTTGTCCTCTGCAGGAAGTACAGAGGAGAGAAGACAGGGCGCAGAGGAATGACAGACAGAGACCCACTGGGGTTATCTGGCGGATCCGGGAAGGCATGCCTAACTGCAGGGTGGAAGGAGGCAGTCTGTGGGCTTCCTATGCGCATCCTCCCAGAGCCTGGTCATGTGTTTTGCCAGCTCCTGAAGTCGGTTGTCACGGAAACCAAGCCTTCCAACTAAGCATCTGGAGGCGACCTTCTTGTGTGGGAGGAAGGGTGGTGTGGACGGTTTCTGAGATGGAATTGGGGTTTTGTTTCTGAGAGCTGGGTTGCAGAGGGCGGGGTGCTGGCTGCCTGGGTTCTATTCCAGGCACGGCAGTAGATTGGCAGTGTGTGTGAGCAGCTGTGGTTGGTCCCCTAATTGGTATGTGCGCCTGTAAAGCTCTGAAACAGAAACGCGTGGCTTCTGGTGGGGGAGAGGGAGGAGGCAGGCAACCTACCCCCACATCCCCAGCCATACTGGGGAGGCAGCTGGCCCAGGCTCCAGCGCTATTTAAAAGGCTTTTATTTCCAGTTCTAGAGCCTGCCAGAATGGGTTTGTGGTCCTCTTCAAGCCCCTCATTGTCTATTCTGGGTCTGTTCATAGCTTGTAAGGTTCCTTTGTGTAGGTTACAGCGTGCTCAAGTATGGCTCTGAGCTGCAAGTCACCTGGAGCATGACCTCTGGCTTCTCACCTCTGCTGGCAGGCTCAGGTTTCTGTCCCCCTCTTCCCCCACATAAATTCCTCTAATCTGCAGTGTGGTTGGTCTGTGGCCACCAAGGGGGGGGGGGCAGGGAGACATGAAGAGGGGAGATGGGAGAATCTTCCCTCAGCAAAAGAGACACAGGTACTGCCAGGACCTAGTAGTTCTTGACATGTGGGGGTGCTAGGAGGTGGGGAACTAGAACTGAGTTCAAGAAAAGGGTTCCAAACCACCAGGCTGCCAAAACAGAACTGGGGCTCTATTCCTTTGTAAGATGCAAATGTAAGGGCAGAAGCCTAAGCATGGTGTCTGTCTGGCACGTTAGGCACCTTAAGCTTTTTGACAATGTCAGATCAACCAGGGATTTGGAAAATAGCTTAAAGTCACAAAGGAGGAGGTAAGGTAGTACTGTTTCAATGCTTTATTAACAGTTGGAAACAAACCCAACAAACTGGAGGTGATGACATCCCAGAAGCCCAAGAGGCAAGGGAAACAGGTTTGCATTTTGTCTTTTTAAATTTTTTATTAAATGCATCTTAGCAAAAGTAGATTAAAAAAGAAAGGGTCAAAGCCCCAGATGTCAGCAGGGAAGAGGAGGGGACCCAGGGGAGCAGCCTCCCCCCCACTCAAAGGAGATGCTGTTGCCCCTTCACACACAGACAGCTGTAGCAAACGGAACCTTTGTTCCTGGCCTGAAGGCCTCCCTGCAGGAAGCCTCAGGTCTCCTGCGTTCCCCCCTTTGCTCCAACAACTTTAATTCTGGGTCAAGCCTGAGCAGTGTCATTCTCTCTCCTACCTGGGGGTGGAAGCTAAAAGCAAAGGAGGGCAAAGTGTCACCCTGAGCCAGAGAATCTGAGCTTCCTGGAGCCAGGGCCTCTGAACAGCCTGGCCTGCCCACTGTTCATAAGGGAGCAGGGGGACGCTGTGTGGCAACACTACTCACTTGCCCAGTGTCCAGTTAGCATTTGCACATTTGGCTTGATAAATATATTAAATTTTTATTAAAAACTCTGTGGTCTCAGAGCTCCCACCACTGAGGCCTGGTCCACCTCTACCAGAGAAGAGCTCCTCCTGCCCCAGAACTAGATGATGGGAGAGAGAATCTGCACTGGACTTCAAGGGCCCAAAAGGCTTTAGGGTGGAGGTGGAGGTCCAGGGTGTTGTTCAGGACTGAGGCCTGTGGGGAGAAACCCCAGGGGCACCAGGACCTGCCATCAAAGTCTCTTACATTATGGAGGGGAAAGGGGGAAGGGATAGTTATTCTCTTAAAAAAAAAATCTCATATAAAAATAGATCCATTTGCAAAACAATTTCTCAGCCAGGAGGCTCCACCTCCCATTTCCTTGGAGACAGAGGGTGAGGTGTTGGGATGGTCACAATAAAGTCCATACTCCAGAGGAGATGCACCAAAGCTCCGGGGAAGATGTGAGGAGAGACCATGGCTCAGTAGCCTGGGGCAGGTATAGAAGGTTCACAGAGGCAGGGTCATAAAACATGGCAGCAGGCTGGGGACAGGTCCCACAATGTCTCTATATCCTGCCTGCCCACAGGCCCTGGCCTAGGCCATCGTGGAACAGATCAAGTGGTCCAGGTCCTTTTTGTTTTGGGAGGCCCTTCCCAGGAAGGTTTGGGGAGGGTGGGGTTTGCCTCCCCACTTCTCTGGGCACGGCTCCCAGTGTCACACCACTAGTAATAAATAACAGTAACCGGGAGAGGGAAGAGCAGAGCAGCGGTGACAGCGATGAAAGGAGGGATACAGCCTAAAGGTTCACAAGCCCCATGCTGTTCTCAGGGCTAGAGAAACCACAAAAGAAAAGCACGAACCCAGCAAGATTGACCAAAGTGAAAGCCTACTGGAAAGGCAGGGGTTGAGAAAGCAGGTGGGGCCTGGTCTGAGACAAGGCCTCAGAGTGACAGAAGACCGCTGGGGTTAAGGCAGCAAACACGGAGCCTGCTTTGGTAATACAACAGCCAGGGCGGGCTGGGCTCAGGCCTCCCCACACTGCCTTTTCCTACTGGCCTCCAGGCAGCTGAAGCTGTGTGTGATGTACAGAGAGCAGCAGGCCAGAGAGTAAGACAGGGTCAAGGTAGTGGGAGCAGCCACCCCAGAGGAATATTTCCGTGACCCTTTAGGCACATGCTGCAGGGCAAGACAGTCTGGGGCTCCACTAAGGAAGCTGCTGAGGCCACAAGACCCAGCTTAGCTTGCACGGCCAACCAGCTCCTTGGGTTCTTCAAGGATTGTGGGGACTCCCTCATTGTTCTTGGCGACCTTAGGAGGAACAGTAGTCATGGCATCATCCTTGGTCAGCTCCGAGGCTAGGAGAGATGTGACTGCACACCCAGCCTTCCTGTTGGCTGCAAAGAAAAGACATGAGAGATCTTGTCCACAGAAGGCCCAATTTCTAATCCCTTTCAAACTCTGTAGCAGACATTCCGCCCAAAGCCATGCAAATGTGGCTGCACGGTCTGGTTCAGAAGGCCCTTCTTTGAAAGAAAGAGAGGCAGAGACCTAACCACATGTGGAATATACTTCCTAGGTGCAGAGAGCATGTGGTGCAGGCTTTCCTGTGTGAAAACTGTACACAGGTTTGAATATAGCTAGACAGAAAAAATGTGATTCAGGCTTGTTAGGTAAAACCTAAAGAGGAATGAAGTGCCCAAAATCTGTTTTCTCATCATAGAGTTGTTGGAATTAAATAGACTCAGGCTTAGTAAAGAGTAGTAGTTTTGTTTTCTTGGCTGTTTTCAGGAATCTCCTAGGTCAAAACCATTTCAAGTCAGACCCGGGGAGGCCTGTCCAGCCTTCAGTAGGCTGCTGGGGGCAACTCCTGCAAAGTGGAGCAACAGCCACGCGCTGACGTCAAGTGCACGTCACACTCCCATGTGTACCCCTACCCCCCTTCCCTCTCCCCATGCCCACATGCCCAGCTCTTCCCCACCTCTTCAGGAGTAGCAGCTGGGAGACAAATGCCAAGGGCCCTACAAGGTATGTATGTCGGGGTGGGGGTGAGTGGGTAATGAAAGGTATGTCAGCAAAGGCAGAGCTGCAGTCAAGAATGGTGAGGACAGGCCCCTACAAAGAAATCTCATTCCAATGTGTTAAGGGATGGTGACACTCCAGTTGTAATCTTAGAAAGAGAAGATCCAATTAAGCCATGAGTTTCTGTTCTCACTGCTGGGAGCCATCCCTAAGACTGTCACAATTTATGGAATGCAGATTTATGGCCCCAGTATCTTCATTCAACACAAAGGCAGTTCCTTGGGACCATGCCCATCTCATGTTCTCTGCTTCTTCCCATGCCCTACAAAACAGCACAGAAAGACCAAATGTACACAAAGAGCTGCCTGCCTGGGTCAAAGAAGCCAGACACAAAGGCTAAACGTGCTATGATTCCATTTCTATGAAATGTCTAGAATGGGTACATCCAGAGAGACAGAAAGTAGATTCACGATTGCCAGGGGCTGGGGGAATGACTGCCAGTGGGGATGGGGGTTCTTTCTGGGGAGGTAAAAATGTTTTGGAATTAGTGGTTACACAAACTTAAAAATATACTGAAACCACTGGATTGTAGACTTTAAAAGGGTGAATTCTAAGCATTTGATTTATATCTAAAAAAACCCAGCTTTTGCTGGGTCATGGGAAAGATGAGTGGAGAAAGCAGTACTTCAGCCTTACAGAAGCAAGAACAGCTTGCTAAATGATGGGGGCAGCTCTGGGACAGGCGCAGGAATGAAGAGGTCCAGAGGAAGCAGTGAACAAAGCGCCCATAACACCTTTGCCTTGTTTGGACCAGCAAAAAGCTTTAGGCAGCACAGAAGCCAAACGGGGAAGGCCCACCCTTTCACTAGAGAGCCAGCACTGCTGTGTTCACACAACAGAGGCCACCCCTAAGTCAAGGAGCACACTGCATGCCCACAGGTTACCAGTGTATAGGTCTCCTCCTCCTCCAACTCCTCCTGCCAGGGGCACAATGGACTGTCTAACAAGAGGAGAAAGAAGAGTGAAGGCCCTGACTGAGAGGCACAAGGGCTCACCCTCTGGTTCCAGGTGGAAGGTATGTGACCTATACTCCAGGTGTTCCACACAGGCCACTACTTTGACTATAAACATGTGCTACCGCCTCAGTGACTGGGGTGGGGACAGTGTGACTAGGGAAGTCTACATGTATGTGCTTAGATCTTCTTAGCCTCAGCCCCACTTAGTTTCTGCTCTTCTCTAAATTTACTCCCTTCTCTAGGACCCTACTTCTCATGTCCAGAAAGGCAATGGCTTGATGTCACTCAAGTGTGCCTGTGTATTTATCCTCTAGCAGTTGAGAAAATATTGCCAACTATTTGTGTGTGACTAAAGAAATGCATTTGTGTTGAAATAATTTGACTCCAGACCCCAGAGGGAAAAGAATACTGGGTCTTCAGGGAGACCTGTCCTGGGCAACATGGGAAAAGTCTGGTTTCTTCCTCTAAACTAAGTTGATACCAGTTGTACCTAATCAAGCAGTGTTTCTAGGTTTTCTAGATTCCAAAAGATTCTGATGCTTTACAGGTTTCACAAAAACTAAGAGTGGATGGTAGGTGGGGGGAAGACCAAAGCTTCCCTTAAAAAATGTTTTTTTTTAGTGTTTGTTTTTGAGAGAGAGAGCGCGCACATGAGCGGGTGAGGGGCAGAGAGGGAGACAGAATCCGAAGCAGGCTCCAGGCTGAGCTGTTAGCACAGAGCCCGACATGGGGCCCAAACTCATGGACCGTGAGATCATGACTTGAGTTGAAGTATGACACTTAACCAACTGAGCCACCCAGGTGCCCCCAAAACTTCCCTTTTAAGCCTAGAAAGTAAGTACACAGGGATGTGGCCTAAGATGTGGCCTTTCTCAGAAATGAGAAAGCTCTTATTGGAACTGGAAAGAGAATCAACAGAACTCAAGAATTCTGGCTTCCACTCTGTCTTCGGGGCCACAATTATACTCAACAGTTTGAACAATTAAGAAAAAGTGAGCTTTCCCCTCCTTTCCCTACCTTGAGTACTTGAGACTATTGACAAGTAGCCATAGAAGCAGATACATAATTTGACTATATTCGATCAAGGAGGATTATTAACTCAAAATAGAATAGTCTCACAGCCTGTGGAGAAAAGGGAACAATGTTGAGACTTGGGTCAAAGGTCTCTGAAGACAGATTCCTAGAAGTTCAGGTGGGCTAAGATAAAAACATCAGCAAAATCCACCAAGCATATTATAACTAGAAAAAGGTCAATGATTTGGAAAAAAGACATTTACATTTATAAAATGCAGGCTAGAAACTGCTACTGAAGAGGAAGTGTTCTTGTTAATAAGCTTCCTTGGGGGAGAGGAAACTAGAACAGATGAGACAGTCATTACTGTCCTAAAAGAACTCATTACTGTCTAAAACTTGCCTAATTATAATACCTGTCCTATTTTTACAAAAGCAGAGGGAGAATAAGTGGTCATGTAGGAAATACTCTTAACCTTCTATAGACAGATAGACATCAGAAAACTCCCTGAAGCAACGGTACCGTGTCCAGTGCTCTCTGCCAGAAGGTATGAAAGAATACTCCGGCCTACACAGAGGGGTCACTGTCCTCTCTGGTCCATCAAGTAGGCTTAGTGGAAATAGCCCTGGACTTGGAATCACAAAAGGGGGCTACAGTTCTAGCTCTAGCTCTTCAGATCTGGGAGAGGAAGAGCTTATCTGGGTCTTAATTATTTTCATCTATGAGGAGGTCAGATGCTAATCACTAAGGTCTTTAGAGGCTCTCCTGACTCTAAGGTTCTATTAGTGTAGGTGGAGCTTAGAGGGAAGGAAAGGAAAAGAAAGATGAATTTCTTCCTTGATTTTTATCCCAGTGGGCAGATGGCCTGTATATAAGAGGCCACAATTCAGACATGGAGATAAAGTTGAGTCATTAAAACCACACGCTGACTCAATCGTCAGCCTGAAATAGTAGCTGTAATACAATCACATGGATTCTTCCCTTTGACACTCAAACCATTGTTCTCCCACACCCTGTAGATCACAGCAGTTTACATGTCACTTTTAATGAACCGGCCCTGATAGTAACTCTCCTTTTCTAACTCAATGGTTCTTTGTATACTTTGTACTCAGTATACACTCCCTCGGGTCTCCAGAGACGGGAAGATTTTTTTTTTTTAAAACATTCCTTTAAATACTAAGGAAAAGGCCAGGGTCTTTGAGGCTGGGACAGCTGGGACTGAGGAGGCCTGTGAGGCAGATCTGCTTGACAGGGCTTCAGTTTTTTGGCTCAAAGCAATTGATCACAAGGGATAGAGGAGGCCAAGCAAGGAATGGACCAGCTAAGTGCAGGAGCCACTGAAGGAAACCTGTAGCCACCAGGGCCTATTTTATAGTTTGAGAACGGGGCCTTCTGAGTCCAGCCTCTTTTATGTCTTCTCTTATTCTTTTGTCCCATGACAACAGGATTTTTAAAGCTGGAAAGGACCCAAGAGACCATTTTAGTCCAGCTCAAGAAGAAACAGAATCGCCTACAATTGTCCAAGGTACATAGCATCAGAGTTACTTGACTCTGGGTCTTTTGATTTCTACCTAGTCTGATGCTGGTCACACTCTACTGTGATAGAACCTTTACAGCTAGTGTGAGGCCAGATCACTTTAGAGGACATGAATGCACTGTCTAAGCAGGATACCAGAGTAAGTCAAAGTGTCTCCCCTAAGAGATTCTCCTAGACACCCAGAGCCCAGGAAGATTAGGTTACAGGATGGAACCAATTTAAAAATCATGTAGTTCTCTGCTGCACTATCTCCTAGAATCATTCTCCTATTCCTTCTTACCCTGGGAAAATAGCATTTTGACTAATTTGGATCCTCTGCTGAAAGGTTATGTTCCAATAAAATCCCTGCTTCCTCTGCCTGTGAGTCCTGGTTTCCTACTTGGGAAGAAGTAGAGAATGGGGCCTCCCCCACAGAGGGAAGACATTGATGTCTGGCTGCCTGTGTACAGGAAGCATCTGGCATTCTAGTATAGTTTCAGAGGAAGAGGCTTAAAAAGGGAATTCCCCACCAAAAATCTGATGCAGGTTGGCATTTAGCTGAGAGAGTCAACAGTGAGATGCAATGTACTTTCTTTTGGCTAGAAATACCTCATGTAAGGCCACATCACCTTATATGGTGAGTAGAGAACAATGTCACAAGAACCTGTAAAAACTAAACAAAATAAATACTACCAGCTGCACTCTCTACTCAAACACTGATCTGTAAGACTAAACGTACCCAGGAAGTTCTAAGTCCATCATAATCACCTATTCTTGCACTAGAGAACCTCTTCTCAAAGGATGCCAAGACTTGTAAATGAGGGATTCTCCTATTTAGGGAAGGTTCAGAGGTTGTACAGAAGAGCCCTCAGAAGGGAATTTCCCTTTGGGAATTCAGAGTATGGGCAAAAATAGGCAGCAACCTTTGGGCCAGGACACTAAGTTTATGGCAGCTAGCATGCTCTATACCCTTCATCCCAGGGTCCCCTTTCCAGGCTATGATAGGTACTTTAAGCCCTACAGATACCTCTGTGTTAACAGCTAAGCGCTGGCCAAAGCAAGCTGCACACCTCCTCCTTACGATAACCTTAAAGCGCTTTCAAACAGACCTACAGAATATACCAGCCAGGGAATAGGGAACACATCTTTAACTCTCTCAAAAATAGAAACCCTTGATGACTGCCTTTTCTGTTATTCCCACCCTCAACCTAGGAAAAAAACCATCACTCCTAGTCCCAAAGGGCCTTCGACAGACCCAATGGTGCAAGTCAGCCCTGCATGAGGGACAGTGTTGGCTCTACCTTCTCGTGGACTAGTCTCTTAGCCACTGTGCGCTTCCCTCCAAGGAAACTTATCTACCGATCCTTCCCCCATACGAATGCCTGGATCATCTGTCCTCCTATCCTCGCAATTCTTCTTAGAGGCTCTGGTTCAACTTAATCCACTTGTATCTTCTGAGGGTTGTGGGGGAGTAAATAGGGAACACAAAGGCAGTGGAAGCTAACTCACCCAAGGAAAGGCAGTTGTCAGAGACAGTTCTTCCAATGGATTGCTGCTCTTTATTATTACATGTGAGGATAATGATGCCTAACCTTCTCTGTCTTTTCTGCTTGTGGAGTAAGGACTCTTAACTTTTCTTTGTATTTCCTACATCAAATGTACACTTTCAGTCCCACGAGACCTAGTTCTTCAGGTCAGTGCTTTCTAATATGGGAGGAAGAGGCCTCGACAACCCACTCTTGATGCAGGGCCTACTGTGAAGAAGTTTCTAAACTGTCAGAGCATCTTTACCCGTTCTTCAGCCCAAGACAAACAGCCTCACCCCTTCCAGGCCCAGGCTGGGCTTCCCCTGCTCACTTACCCTGACGGGGTCCTCTCTTCCGTCGGAATGCTGCGCCTGACTGCAGAGCTTCCAGAAGACTGTCCATCACACCTGTCTCATCGCCCTCTGTCATGAACAAAGATGGAGATGTATGCTTTTCAGCCTGAGCAGCATGCAGCATTGACCCCACACATAATGTATGGACTGTTGACTGGCTTCCTGTCACCCACAGTGGCTAAGGGCTGAGAGCAGACAGAGGGCCCAACCCCACAGCCCATGTTTACTTGCATCTGTTTGAAAATGGTTAAAAGAAAAGGTTTGGCTGCCTATTAACCACTGCAGACCTTGGGGTATTTCCTGGCAGTACCCTCCTTCCTATCCCAACCAGGACTAGCACAGAGAATTGCAGAAATGCCCAAGACTAATTCCAGAATAAGCACACAGACTGGGATTATGAAATTAATATGGAATGTTATCACTCGCTCTTTATCCTAAAGTGTTTCACTCCAGTTCACATAAACATGTCAGGGAGAGCCTGGTTCCAGTTTCAGAGCAGGGCTGAGGAAAAAGGAGAAACCCCTGATCAAGACTGAATTTCTAGTAAGTACTGACCCCTGTGGCTGCATCTTCCAGAACCAGCTCAGCATGTAAGTAGAGCATCCTGGCTGGAATGTAAAGAGTTAATGTCGAATTCTGGTTCCAGCCAGGCTCTGTTTCTATGGCAACAGCTCAGGGTGGTGAAATCTGAAACTGAAATCCCAAGGAGCCTGCGGGCTTGTTAGCTACAAGGCTGGGCTCACTGCTCCCTCCGCCACCTGCTGGCTGAACATCACCAGTGCAGGTGACCTACATTTCCAACCTCCTGCATTGCCTTGGGGACCCGGGCCAGGGCCAGGTCTTGCTGCACAGCCAGGTGAGTAGGTGCAGCTTTCATCCTGCATGTCAGCTGGACTCCACCTTTCCCTACATCTAGGGACAAACCCTGGCCGCCAAGGGAGAAAGGGGGAAAGTGAAAGATACTTGGCGTGGGCTTTAACAGCATTTGCAGAACAAAATGTTGTGGCTTATATATATAACTATAGGAAGGACTGTGGAAATGCTTCCCAGAAAAATAGGAAGAAAAGAAAAAAGTGTAGGCTGTTCTGCTCCTTAAGGTCCGGGGCCTCATCACAACAGGAGCTGCCAAAGAAAAGTCCTTGGGAGAAAGAGGTGCTAGAGCAGCTCTGGTCTCTTGTGCTCAGCAAAGCACTTGATTCTTGCCAGACTTGGAGGCCCTAAGAACCCCTTTACTTAGATGGCTAGTGGTGCCTCAGGTTCAAGAAGGGTGGCATCAGCTAAATTCTGTGCACAATGTATACTACAGTTCTCCTCACAGAAGGAGCTGACAGAGGTGGGGGCAGGGCATAAGCAGCAGGAAGGCAGCAGAGACCGGAAACAGAAGGCCAGTAATTAAGGCCATATGTTTCAACAAAGACATGCTTCTGGTAGTGAAACAGATTCTGCTAACGAAAACAGAGAGTGGCCAGCTTCCATGCCCCCTCTCCACAAGTGCAATCCCTTTATAATCTGATAGGTACACGCAGTTATGTGTGCACAGTGTGGACAACTCTGCTGAAGTACTGAGGACACAGCCCTTAGTGAAAATAAGCACAAAGGGAGGGCAAGCCACCAGTAAGAGATGGGAGTGGGTCCGGGAAAACATTCTGGGGAAAAGAACAGAAGATTTAGTAGAGGATACAAAGAACAGGCCAGCGGAACATTCGGACAGGCAGAACAATACGTGTTACAGCAGTCCTAGATCACTAGGGAGATGAGACCTAATGCGGGAAAACTGGCAAAGGAGAGAGAAGGGTTTGAGCTCGGAGAACTGGATTGCGCATGCAGGGGAGCTGAGGTGAAAGTCCAGCATCAGGCTCTTGGAGGTAGAAGACTGCCAACAATCTTTTGCCAGGAGCTGAGCTCAGACATGAGCTGTTCTCTCTGGCCTCTACATTCCAGGCAGAGAAATCCTGCAAATGTTCCTGTTTCAACCCATTAGCCCTTCTCCTCCACTTCTTACCTGCATTCATATCTATGAGTTGCTCTCTCTTCTGCTGCTTCTCCAGCCGCTCCTTCTCTGCCTTCTCCTTGGCTAGTTTCGCTCGCCGCATCTTTTCCTCTGTCTCCCGCCGCTTCTGGTTTTCCTTGACTGCTTGCTGTGGAGGAAAACAACAACACGTGGGCATGTATGCACTTACACATATGCCCACCCAACACTAACCAATGTGAAGCCAACCAATGTGGAAAGTGAGAAATGTCCACAAAAGATTCAGTCCGCAGATAGCCCTTGCTCACCACAAACATATTCTTAAAGTTGTGCAGATCCATGAAGAATTCTTCCACAGACACCTTCTTGGGGTCAAAGAGGAAGTACTCTCCCAGCTCCTTATAGAGGGTCTCCATATTACAATGCATCATCCGCAACTTGTTATACTGTTCCTGTGCGTCCTTCACAAAGCTGTGCGGCCAGGAAGTAAAGGACCAAGACCAAGAAGCAGATCCACTTCTCTGGCCCCGAGGAACACTCAGAGATGCATGCTGGCATGCACAAGGATGTTCAGCATAGCACTGTTTATAACAGCAAAACCAAGAAGCAACCTAAATATCGAAAATAGGGGAATGGCAAGCCATAAACCATGGTCCACCTACAAAAAAGGAGGTGGCAATTAAAAAAGAGGCTGTTCTCCATATATTGCTGTGGAACCTGGGCTTAAGACATATTATATTCAAAAAGAAATACAACACAGTTTTGAGTTAAAGTAAATTCATGAGGTAAAAATCAGAAGTTCAGTGGTAGTGGTTACCTTTGGTAAGGGGAGGGAGAAGAGAATACGTGTGTGTGTGTGTGTGTGTGTGTGTGTGTGTGTGTACTGGAGATGGGGCAAAGGGTAAGGTGTCAGGGAGGAATTTTCGTTTATGTGCATGGGTTTTTTTTGTTTACAGAATTTTTTTCAAGAAGGAAAAACTGTCTATCACCAGATCTATCCTGCTGTTCCCCCATGGGACATTTTCCTTCCCTTCCTAAGAAGCAACTCCCTCATTTTAAGAAAGGATATAGTCATTTTTTCAACAAACTTGTCTTTCTCATCTGTGGCAGCTGGGAAATTCTGAACATCACGTTCCACATCAGAAATCTGTTTCTTCATTTGATCTAGGTTCTTTTGCAAGTTTTCAGCAGAAACTAAAGGAAACACAAAAACAGAAAGAGTTCATGATGAGTCTCAAGACCCTCAGCCTCCAGTCTTTGGGGCCCAGGCTCTGTCCATACAGCTGTACCCAGTTATCCTGGCTCTCACGCTCTCTCGTCTAGCTGTTTCCCACATTTCAGTTTCCATCTTTCCAGTTCAACTATAAATTATGTGATAACTGAACCTCCAGCCTCCACAAGGAGAAGATAGGTTTCATTTAACAAGAACCTATGAAATTCCCTGGGATCTTGGTCTCATTTATTGTAGGGCACACAGTTGAAGGGGAAGGAGATATACACAGAAATACAGAGGAAGGGCAGAAATCTGTTCCCATTTCTACCGAATGCTGCTTTTTCTTTGTGTAGTTCCAGGATGATGAGGCCTGATTTTTGACAATCTAGTCCATGCTTTCTGAATAAAAATAACTGCTGACCTAGACTAAAAACACCTACCTTTCTTCCAGTTGTTTTTTAGTATTTGGGATTTCCCTAAGAAAGGAAAGAGTGCTTCCCACTTCTATACACGGAGACCTCCCCTCTGCCTGATAATCCTCTCCCCGTGGCTTAGACATCATGCCTAAACCCTCTCCCATTCCCACCTAAAATAGGCAGAACTGAAAACTATCTAAGATAAGATCTAGACCGTGTCTTACTTCCGTCCCCATGCAGAGATTTTGGGGGCCTGAAATAGCCTTCTAGTTTTGCCCCAACCTGCCCCACCTCGGCTGGCTTTCTCCACATGGGCAAGCTCATCTGGAAACTTGAGGACATCAGGATGGTCATTCTCGCACAACTCAGCCAAGAAGTGCAACAGTGTCATCTTCTGATCTGTGGACTTGGTGTCTCGAAGCTTGGGGAAAGAGGAGAAACTGTCAGTCTTGACATACCCAAGATCACCTGAGACCAACAGTATTTTGCCACACTGGGCCCCCAGAGGCCGGCAGCCTTCCCTTCTGTTGCTCTGCTCTAAACCCTTGGCTTACCTTACACAGGAAGCTGATGTTGAAGCCGAAAGCACCGGCATTCCTGGAGCCAGCATTCATGTAGTTTCCAACAAGTAAAGTAATCTCCAGGAGTTTAGAGAAGCTCTCACTCTTTCGTAACTCCTCACACGCGGCAGTCACAGAAACAATCTCTGGCTTAATATTCTCCACTTGCTCACTAAACTGTAGCTTGAAGAGGATGGCGTTGAGGCGAGGCCGCAGGCGGGGCACAGTGCCCATCTGGTGAGGAAGACAAGCAGTTTGGTACAGCAGGCAGGGAGAGGGAAAGTCAGAAAAAACGTACAGGCTTGAGCCTCTCCTATAGGAGGCTCTGAGTTCAAGAATACCAAGCAGAGAGAAACATTGGTTCAAAATAGAAAAGAGGCAAGGAACAAGTACCATGGCTACTCTGGGGGAGCAGAGAAGCAAGGGAGTCAGGGAAGAGCTTACTACCATAGGCCTCACTCACCACCACACCAAACTGCTCCGACTCAGCCAGATCATCATATTCATCCTTTAGTTCAGAAAGCATTTTTAACTGCTCTGGCTCTGGCATCTGCTTAATGAGGTTCTGAAAGAGAGAAGGGACTGTCTCAGTTTGAGGGGGAAGAGCTGACAACTTGGGCCTCCTGTCAGCCCCCCACTGTGCCCAGGGACCACAAAGAAGGAAACATGGATTGGGGGAGAGGTAGCTAGTGAGATGGCAGGACTTTTGAAAAATATACCAGGAATAACCTAACCACCAGAGACACGGACGCTTACCCAAAGCCAGCGTTCCATAAATCATTCTCTAGACCATTATGCTAGAGGACCTCATCCTCTACCCAGAGAGGTGATGAGGCTAGTGCACCGCGATGTGAAGAGCCAATCCAGCAGAACCACCTTGCTCCTTACCTGGATCATAGACTCAGTGAGAACAGACTCATTCACCTCCAGGATGACATTCTTAATCTCTTGATAGGCCATGCGGAATGAACCCAGAAAGATGGCTGCCAGAAAATGAGACTATTAAAAACCTCCACCAGCTCCCCACTGCCTCTGTAGCTAAAATCCAAGTTCTTGAGTCCAGTGTGGAAGGTTCCCACCTCCCAGCTTTCTCTCTCATGAATCCCCACATTTTGGCATATACCAGCTACACCGTTCGAAGTACACATTCAGCAAACACTGTGGCTCCTGGCCTTTGCTCACACAGGAAGATTTTGATCTTCTCTATCTCTATACATCCAAGCTACTCACCCCACTCTATTTTTAGTTCCCCACTCCCATGACTCCAGCCTCAAAGCTGCCACTGCCTTCAACTGCTGATTCTTAAACTGCCATATCCCCATTCCCCAACAAACACATCCTGTCTTCCTGTTTTAGCACCAGTCTCTACAGTGACCCCTCAACCTCATCAGAGCGCATGCACGTACTCTCTCTGGTGGGAGAGCCGACCATTCCATTTTCTCTGCATGTACAAGTTCCACTTCACCTCCACCCTCCAGTATAGAGTTTCACTCAGTTTCTACTATTACTGCCATTTCCATTACTACTCTTCCTGTTTTGTTTCCTTCTCCTTCCAGTCTCTGGTCAATCCAGACCTCTCATCGCTCTCTTCTGGCACCTGGGCTAATGAATACCACTGGCAAAGACTCTGCAGATCACAGTTCATCAGTGTGTAGCGGCACCAATGATAGCAGGGGTCTCAGCACTGCGCCCTCTTGCAAGCTCCTCCCAAAATATCCTCATTCCCGCAACTGTCCCACCACTTCTGATTTTTAAGATATTGTTTCTCTTCGCTGAAAAAAACTGAAGCCACTGGTCAAATTACTTGCCAAGCATTTTCTTATGCACTGGAGGTCATCAGCGAGAGCCAGAATAGACAAGGCTTATGTAAAGACTGTGTGGAATTATAGAGAAGAAGCCTTGTGCCAACAGTTCTGTCAGCTTATCAGCAACTACACCCATGTACTCATCCTTTTCTTGTGTCTCAAAAGAACACATGGCCCTGAGGACCTTTTCCTTCGGTGCATACATGTAATCCAGTTTCTACCCTCTAAAAAACAAAAAACCAAAACCCTGACTTGAAACTCCTAACTGCCAACTTCTTTCCCTCACTGTCTAACATTCTAACAGCACAGCAGTCTGTTCTCTTCCACTGCCGCAGTTCTCATCTATTCTCCTGTCCCTAGAGTCCATGACAAGACTGTGAACGTCAGATGTGGTATCTTACACATAACCTACATACATGATCTCATTTCACCCTATTCATAATATCCCCAAACGTCTGTAGTATTAGCCTCATTTCATAGAAACCTAATATTTAAAGTTAATAAGCTATTCAAATCCAAGGTCACACTGCCAGTAATTGTTGGAAGCAGGATTTAAATACTAAAGGGTTCCAGAGCCTCTGTTCTTAACCTCTATGCTACACCAAAATTATTCTTGCTTAGGCTACTGACTTTCCTCCACCAGATCCAGAGGACCTGTCCTGTCCTGTTTTTAGGGGACTCTTGTCTTCATCTGACACTGCTGACTACTCCCACTTTTTTTTGTTTGTTTTTGTTTTGTTTTGTTTGTTTTTTGGGACTTGGGCCCTCACTACTCCCATTTCTTGTAACTTTATACCATTTTTCTTGCTGCTCCTTTCCAGTCTCCTTTCAGTTCTCCACCCCCCGCCCCCACTATTTACTTGCCCCTTTAGTATCAGTGGCCTTCAAAGCAACCTCATGGCTTCAACTATGACTCATGTGCTATCTTCTAAATTCCCATTTCCAGCCAAACCTTCCTCCTGATTTCTACACCCAAATGCCTAACATACCCATCCTTCTGGAGTAGTCCCCACAGGCATCTTAAATTCTACCCTAAAAGTACTCATTTCCACCCACCACCCTGCCACCTCATTCATGTCCACTACCCACTGCTCCTTCCCAAAAAGACAATTTGCTCCTGCTGGATTTTCCTTTTTCAGTAAACGGTACCCCTCTCACTAGAGTGATGTAAACCCAAGAAAACGTCTCCTTTATTCCCTCAGCCAATCACTAAGTTCCAGTATTTCTATCTTCTTAGTATCTTCTGCCTTCCTGCTCACTTCCACTACTACTTAAGTTTCCGGCCCTGATCACTTCTCATCTAGTTTTAAAGCGAGAACATAACTCATCTCTCTGCCTACAGTCTTCCTGTACCCCAGCAATCCAGCCTCAAAGTCACTGCTGAAGTAGCTTCTCCCCAAATTACACAGGACCATATCACTCATTTTCCTGATTAACATCCATTCAATAAATTCCAAAGCTCTCAGGATAAAATAGATACTTTTTAGCCTAGGCCTGTCAGGATTCTTCATGATCTGGCTTCTTTCTCTTTCTTGAAAGCTTCTTCTGCCACCACTCACCTGCATAGTCTTTACTCAGCTGTACTCAACTACTTGCAGTTTTCCAACTGCACAGTGTTACCTCGTGCTTCTGTGCCTTCACACATGCAGATCTCTCTGCTGGAAACAAGGCAGCCCACACTCTTCACTTCACTCATGACTAATACTTCTTTTAGCTCAGTTAAGCAGGACCTCCTCTCGAATGACATCTAGGATGTGCTCCTTCCAGTACTCCCCCCAGTTAATTTAGATGCCCCTTTCCCGGTGCTCTCATACACATCCTAGCACACCCCCATCAGAGCACTCATCAGTCTGTGTTGTTACCATTATTTACTCTTCTGTCTCTACCAGATGCATGCTTCCTGAGGACAGGGACTGTACCTTACTCAGCTTAGTGTCCCTAGCACATAAGAGGCACTTAGTAATTTCTGAATCACTAAATTATATCTCCTAGACCATCCTTCCAGAAACTAATCTCAATTCTCTGAGTTCTATTTTCCATATCAGTGTCACTCAACTGGAAATAACAATGTCCTACTCCACGGTCGTATCATTTTCTAAAATAAGAGTTATTCTAGTTTTCTGGTCACAGAGATCATCTTGGGAAGAGGAATTATCTCACATTAGTTTCCAAAAAAGGACTTACCCACAGATAATATTTAGTAATATTTGCTGTCATTGATCTAGGTCTACACAGCAAAGAATGATGTGAAAGGTGTACTGTTTTCATTCTATCACTGACTTTACTTACAGGTATGTGTATTCATTTACTTGTGTGATCTTGGCCAAGTCACAACATCTAAACTTTGATCTTCTCATTTGGAAAAATGAGGACAACAGCCACAATGCAAGACTGTGAGTGGGTTTTATGGAATATATACCCTTTCATCTCTGAAACACGTGTGTAGTATGTGCCTAATCGAGACTGCAACATGGCAGAACCTCAAATATTTATATGAACAAACATTTAAATCTATAACTACTCAGCATTACCAGGGATCCACAACCAAACAACAACAACAAAATAAACATTCATCCTGATCATCAAATAAGTACTACCTGGATCAACTTGGGGGAAAAGTTTCTGATCCTACTTTGAGAAGTACAGGGTTTACATTATTTGTTCTACACCACAAAGTTATTTTAGATTTAAATGCAATCAAACCAGTGCTGCATTTAAAGGAAGTTCTTAAAGTTAAAAAGAAGGAAATGCACAATAGCTAGAATATTTGTGGTAGATTTTCTGTGGAAGCAATGTAAATAGTAAAGGCTTTGAAATAAAAAAATCTGAAGTTCAAATCTCAGACCTGTCTCTAACTACCTACTGGACTAGGCAAATTCCTAAAAGCCTTAACCTCTGTTTCCTTGCCATAAAACTAGATGCTAACAATCCTGTAGGTCTACTGAGGAATTAAACAAGATGCTGGAAGTTCTTACAATGCTTGGCTACATAAGGAGCTCCACAAATCAAGGGACTTGGATCCACCAAAATTAAGATTTCAGAAGAACCCCCTCACATTTCAAATAGTTGGGAACACAGAGTTACTCACAGAGATTCTGGGCTGTCTTTGAATCCAACACCTTTAACTCTTTTACTTTTTTCTTTTGCACAGATTTCTTTTCTTCTCCACCTTCCTGATCCTTCTTGGCTAGTAAGGGAAAGATTAGAAAAGCATGATGAAGGAGAAGCCACATTCGTGCCTTATTGAACTGCTGTACCAGCCTGGAATGGCTTCTCACCTCCTATTAGCAACAGTTTTCTTATTGCATTCCTTCAAAGCTAACCTTCTCTCTAACCACCCACCCTCCTATTACTGACCCCCCTACCAACTATAGTCAACATCCTGTTCCTTTAACTGTTTAACATTCCTTTAACTGTTAGCAGTAATGCTTTCCCACCTACATCATATCATTTACTGGCAGATCTTTCTCTGAAGGACCAGATGGTAAATATTTTAGGCTTTGCAGACTATATGATCTGTCTCCAGTGTTCAACTCTACCACTATAGCATGAAAGCAGAGATAATACGTAAACAAATGGGCATGTGGTTTGCCAACCTCTTACTAGAATTTTCCACCATGTTATCCTTTGTGCTTATTAAAAATCCTGTTTATCCTTCAAGCTCCATCTTGAATAGGAATTCTCTATAAAAATTTTCATTTCCAGGGTGCCTGGGTGGCTCAGTTGGTTAACCATCTAACGATTTTGGCTCAGGTCATGATCTCACGGTTCATGAGACTGAGACCTGAGTCAGGCTCTGCCCTGAGTGTGAAGCCTGCTTAAGATTCTCTTTCTCTCCCCCTCTGCCCCTCCTGCGTGCATACATGTGTGCTTTCCCCCTCTCTCTCTCTCAAAATCAATAAATGAACATTAAAAAAAAAAATTTTTATTTCCCCAAATGCCTATGCTCTCCGAATCCCCAGTGAATTTGATACTTCTTTATTCTGTAAAGTTTTCCTTCTTAAATTAAACTGATGCTTTGATGGTATTTGTTATCTTACCTCATTCAACAATTATTCAATGTTTTGTGACATTTCTTGTGTATCATCTTGATCTTTTTAAACCCCGTTACTTTTTTTGTTAAGATTTTACTTTTAAGTAATCTCTACACCCAGCATGGGGCTCAAACTCAGAATCCCAAGATCAGGAGTTGCACACTTCACTGACTGAGCCAACGAGGCACCCCAACCCTCTATTACTTTTTAAGTGTGGATACTTTCCCATCCCACCCACATTTTTAACTTCTGGAGCATGGACAAAATAATATTTTATTATCTCACTCTCTTAGCAGTTAGCATGATAGTAACATTCTCTAAGAAATGGGTGACACTGGCTATTGAGGAGGGCTGGGAAGCAGACAGGGAAACGGGAACTGTTCTGGATGGACAGAACTGTAAAATATTCTGTCCTTTGGTGTAACCTGGCGTCAACTCTTTTTAGGAAGCTCCATGGGAGTATCTCCACAAGGAGGGTCAAGAAACTGACAAAGCTAGTTGCTCTGAGGAGAGGAATGAGGTGCTTGAATACAAAAGTGTATTATAGTGAATAACTTCCTCATATACTGTTTGAATTTTCATTAAACCACAAAAAAGTACTATCTGGTACAAATAAATAAGAAAGACAGCAAACAAAAAAGAAAATTACATGGCAAAAAGTACCAAGAGCTATTAGAAACTCATCCTTTGGCCAGATAGTCCCAACTCAAAGAAGGTATGTGCCAGATTATTCTGGGCACTGTGAATAAAACAGCAAATGAAATGGATTCCTGCCTTCATGAATGTCATATTCTAATAAGAAGAAATAGACAATCAATTAATACATAAAATAGTGTATTAGTCATAGTTCTGTGAAAAAAAAATCAAGTAGGGAAGAGAATAGGGGAATTTCATGGGGTTTGGATTGTATCTTTAGTGGGGGGGGGGGGGGGGGATCAGGGAAGGTCCTAGAATGTGACTTTTGAGAAAAGACTTTTTAGAAAGTGAGAGTACAAACCACATGAATATCTTCGGGGAGGGGAAAGTATTTCAGGCAGACAGAACAACAAATACAAAGGACTGATAAAGGAGCATGCTAGGTGTGCTCAAAGCAAAGCAAAAGGTCATTATGGCTACATGGAGTGAGGGAGAGGCTGGGAGAGTCACAGAGGTACTAAAGACAGATCATATAACAAAACAGAAATTATGGGTAGTGAGATAAAAATGGAAACGTAAAACATCCAGACTGTATCACAAAAACTTAGAAACAGGAAAGGAAAAAAGTAAAACTAAAGCTCTCATTTTATACAGGCAAGTAGAAAGATATGTATTCATTACTGATGTTAAAAAACAAAAAACAAACAAAACGGGCGCCTGGGTGGCTCAGTGGGTTAAGTGTCTGACTTTAGCTCAGGACAAAATCTCATTGTTTGTGGGTTCAAGCCCTGCATTGGGCTCTGTGCTGACAGGTCAGAGCCTAGAGCCTGCTTCAGGTTCTGTGTCTCCCTCTCTCTCTGCCCTCCCCCACTCACACTTGCTCACACGCTCTCTCTCTCTCTCTCAAAAATAAACATTAAAACAAAAATTAAAAAAAAAAAACCAGACTCAACTTGTTTGCTTGGCAATAAAATAAAAATAAATATGTGGTATATATACAAGAAAGAAAGGGACAGGGGCTTTAGAAAACTGAGTGGATCTGGGATAGGGGGCACCAGAGCAGAATTAGTCTGCCGTGAAAATAGAGCAGGCTCAACTGAGAATAAGAGCCATCATCTGAAGTAGAACTCCTGAGATTTATGGAATTTACTTGCTACTCAGAAAGAAGGGTCAGAAAAGCAGTAGTGAATCCTGGATGATGCTGAGCAGTCATGAAATTATTAATCTCATTTGGATGCAAATGGCTTCTTACTCTCAGTTATATTTATCCTTTGCCACCCATCTGTGTTTGTAAGGAAGAGAATGTTAACAGAGTAAAAAATTACATCCCAGGAGCAGGGAGTTAAGATGGCGGAGAAGTAGAGGGATTCATCCCTCAAACATAGCTGTACTGAGTTCAGATCACTTGCAACACCCAGGAAATCGATCTGAGGAGTGGCAGAAAGTTCTCCACAGGTGGAGGAGACAGCTTGGCAGGATCGAGGCTTTCCCACCTCCTGCTTTTTTTTTTTTTTTTGCCCAGGGTTACTTCAACAAACAAATCAAAGCACACCTAGTTAAAGGTCCAAACGCTCCACCACTACAAGTAAGGAGGAGCTCTCCAGAGGACTGACCAGTGGGACAGAGTAGCCAAAACATATCAACAGAGTACACGCAACATACAGCAGAAACACTTCCCGGAGCGCCAGGTCCCGAACAGGGTATGACCCCGTTTTAATATAGTAGTACTCTTAGATGCAGGACATCTAACAAGCTTTTAAAACACGCAAAAGATGGGGCACCTGGGTGCCTCAGCTGGCTAAGCGTCTGGCTTCAGCCCAGGTCATGATCTCATGGTTTGTGGGTTCGAGCCCCGCGTCGGAGTCTGTGGTGACAGCTCAGAGCCTAGAGCCTGCTTCGGATTCTGTGTCTCCCTCTCTCTCTGCCCCTACCCCATCTGCTCTGTCTCTCTCTGTCAAAAAAGTGAATAAACATTAAAAACAATTTTTTTTTAATATGCAAAAGACAAGATGGAGGAAACTTAGCCAAAATGACATGATGATGGAATTCTCCCCAAAAGAAAAGTCAAGAAGAAATCACAGCCAGAGAATTGCACAAAACAGATATAAACAATATATACAAACAAGAATTTAGAATAACAGTCTTAATACTAACAGCTGGATTTGAAAAAAGCATAGAGGACACCAGAGAAACCCTTGCTGCAGAGATCAAAGACCTAGTCACGATGAATTAAAAAAATGTTATAACTGAAATGCAACATAAACTAGGTACAGTGGCAAGACTGAAGAAGCAGATAAGAGAACAGGTGAAACAGAAGATAAAATTATGGAAAATAATGAGGCTGAAAAAAAGAGGAAAAGGAAATTATTAGCTAATGGAGATTAGACATGAAATGAAACACTATCTGTGTATCAAAGGAGTTCCAGAAGAAGAAAAAGTGCAGATGATTTATTTGAAAAATTATAGCAGAGAACTTCCTCATGTGGGGAAGGAAATAGGCACCTGAGTCCAAGAGGCACAGAGAACTCCCTTCAAAATCAACAAAAACAGGTCAACAGCACGACATACCATAGTGAAACTGGCAAAATACAAAGATGAAGAGAATTCTGGAAACAGCTAGGGACAAAACGTCCTTAACCTACAAGGATAGACACACAAGGGTAGTAGCAGACCTGCCCACTGAAACTTGCCAGGCCAGAAGGGAGTGGCAGGAAATATTCCATGCGCTGAATAGGAAAAATATGCAGCCAAGAATCCTTTCTCCAGCAAGGCTGTCATTCAGAATAGAAGGAGAGATAAAGACTTTCCCAGACAAACAAAAACTAAAGGAGTTCGTGACCACTAAACCAGCCCTGCAAGAGATCCTAAGGGGGACTCTGTGAGTGGAAAGCAGCAAAGACTACAAAGGACCAGAGGACATCACCACAAACATGAAATCTACAGATAATACAATGGCCCTAAATTCATATCATTCAATAATAACTGAATGTAAAACAGACTAAGTGACCCAATCAAAAGATACAGGATATCAGAATGGATTAAAAAAAAAAAAAAGATCCATCGTATATCCTGCCTATAAGAGACTGAGGACCGTGTAGGACACCTGCAGAGTGAAAGTGAGGGGATGGAGAACCATCTACCAGGCTAATGGATGTCAAAAGAAAGCTGGAGTATCCATACTTATATCAGACAAACCAGACTTTAAAACAAAGACTGTAACAAGAGATGAAGAAGGGCATGATATCATAATTAAGGTGTCTATCCATCAAGAAGAGCTAAGAACTGTAAATATTTATGCTCCCAACTTAGAAGTACCCTAATATATAAATCAATCATAAGCATAAGCCAACTTACTAATAACAATAGCATAATTGTTGGAGATTTTACTATTCCACATACACCAATGGACAGAACATCTAAGCAGAAAACCAACAAGGTAACAACAGCTCTGAATGACACACTGGATCAGATGGACTTAACAGACACACTCAGAACATTCCATCCTAAAGTATCAGAA